CTGCACTACCAGAGCTCATGTCTACTACTCTGAAAAACTCCACTGCCATTGAGTCAATGCTGTGGGTTTCCAAGACTGTACAGTAGAACCCGGACGGCGATGCTGATCCGTTCTAGAAGGAGCAGCAAGACACGATGCAGTACCGTTACAAATCAGTTTTTTCCCATAAGAAATAACAAAACAAGTTAATCTGTTCTCAACCACCAAGTTTTTAACCAGACCTTGCCTTTTTATACAAAACATTACATAGAAATTTCAAATTAATTAAGTTTAGAATTAAATATCAACTGGTAGCTGCTTTCCAGTTGTTTTCCCTTCTTTGCCCTTTTTTCACTAGGACCTGGCTGGCTTACTCTAAAAAAAATTCTAATGTGGTCTGTCTGCTGTTGGCGTTTCCCTTAGAGGGTTTACTAAATTATTATCAATAATATTGATAACATGGTTAACCAGTTCCTTATCAGGATGATTCTTTTCAAAAAACTCTTAGGACCCATAAACTGTTTTAGATAAACTGTTTTTTATCTAAAAACAGTACAAGAAGCCATAAAAACTAAGAAAGTTATAGCAAAACACTTGAAACACAGCCGCAAAAGGTTTAAACAGCGTGTACTAACAATGCATACTAACAACGCCAAGTAACCCCCAGTGACTGAAGCACGGACTGCTTTTGTTTACAAAACTCACAGCAATGCTTTGTTCAAGTTCCGATGCAAAAGTTTCTGGACATTTCACGTCAAAATCCAAGTGTGTCGAGTACTGATGCGGTTGAGTACTAGGGTTGATGTGTTTGAGAGAATTAGGAACTGTCACTGAGAGGAGACCTGTATTTTGTGTAGTATAGAAGTTAAAGTATAGAAGCTCTTCAGAATAAGAAAGGGAGAGTTCTTTTTATTATTATAGAAGAGAATATTTATTCAGGGAATGAAGCAATGAGTTACGGTAGTTTATGGCGGGAAATTCAGGTTGGCGCCAGATTATAAGGGGCTGTTCTGTGTGAAGGAATTTTGATTGTATCCTCAGTGAGATAGTGTGTCAGTTAACCTTTATAAACGTGGGAGAGATGTAGTTAAATCTATATTTTATTAAGACATCTTCTATTTGGAGGATAGATTATAGAGTTGGGACAGCCTGAAACCCAACCCCATTGGTTAGGTTGAATGATAGAAAAAAGATGTTCTTGAAAACTTGAACAATAAATATTGATCAAGCATAAATAATTTACATTTGGAGTCTATATAGCTTAGAAGGCCATAGTATATAATAAATTTACCAGGGAGTGGCTGTAATCTCATGTTTAGAAAGGATGGTGGTTAAAGCAAAAACTACTCATTGGGATCTATCCTTTCGAGGAAGGTAGTAATCCTCCATTAATTACCCAAGCACAATTAACAATTAGGGTTAAAGAAAGTTTTTAAATCTTGATAGTTTCTCAGACTATATATCCATAAAATGCAATTCCTTCAATATGTTCTAGTAAGTTTCTCTTAAACTGTTTTCATTGGTGTAAACACGTTTTTCTAAAATCTCGATTAGCTATGAATGCTAGAAAAAAAATGTTTTAGGTTTTACTTTAAACTGAATTCCAAAACTAACCCTTACGCTTGCTTACTCTTGTAGATTTTAATACTTGGAAAATGTTGTAACTTTGTAATTATTGTTAGTAGTCTGCTAGAGTAATAATTCATTAATTTGGTACTTTTAATGAATATGAATAGTTCAGTATGAATACTGAACTGTGAATAGTATTTAGTATGAATCCTATTGGATAGTTACTGTTAATGAGTCCAGAATTTATTTTAAAAGTTTTGAGTACGTACTATGAGCCTGAGATTGTTTTACATACTCTTCCATATAACCAAGGTTTTCTGATAAGTGAGTAATTGTTTTAAATATTAAACTTAATTTTAATTCCATTTTCCCTAAATATATAGTAAATATTTCCTGCCTGAGGATCTTCCTGCTTTTTAACACCAGTCTCTATACCTACAACTCCTGCCTTTATCTGTTAGAGATGGGAAATGACCACAGCATTAAGTGCTTTGGTGGGAATAGTACTGGAGTGGAGAGATGGGAGGTGGGCACACATTGGAAAGAGACCTTTAGAACTGTACCTATTAGATAAGTATGCTTTCCCAACCCATTGATTTTTATATAAAGAGAACAATACTACTAAAGATGCTTTTATCTAGAAATTAGAATGTAGGTTATATATTTGTGTAAACAAATATTTGACTGCTATTGATTTTACCTGATTATAAGAATAAACATTCTACAGTCTATGAAAGAACAAGTTAATTGTCGGTACTGTAACTTACATACAGGTCATTTAATCTTATATAAACAGACACCTGATACTTTGAGGAAAAAAGGAGAAACAAAAACTGTTTAATAGAATTTAGTAGGAACCTGTAGGTGGTAAAAAATTCCCGTTTCATGTTATTAAGTAGGATCTTGCTTTTCTCAAGCACATAACAGTAAATTAATTCAGTGGAGGTTGATATTTTTATTTCTATCATAGAAACAGAAAGGCTGGTTGAGTCATAGTTCTTTCATTTATGCATACTTTTTAGAACTTATCACATGATTATTATAGATTTACAGTACAACATATTGCTACATTTTTTGAGTCAGTATAGAGAAGAAGTTTAGAAAAGAAGTCAAACATCATTGTCACAAGTATAGTTGTGATTATTTTGTCACTTAGCGTACGTTGTGGGTTAAATATTACATTAGGTAAATCTGCTGACGAGACCTATTGGCATCCACTTGGTGGCAGTGAGTTTGATCTGGTTTTGATATTCATATGAAAATTGAACATTGAATAAGGAAGACCCAAGATTCAATGCATTTAAATGATGGTGCTGGCAAAGTATTGAAAGTACTGTGGACTTCCACGATCATGATCCAAATTCTACCTTGCAAGTCTGGCTAGACCAGAGGATGTACACTGGTGCAGATAGGAACTGGAAATACAGGGAATCCAGGGTGGATTATCCCTTCAGGACCAGTGGTGTGAGTGGCGATACTGAGAGGGTAGAGGGAGGGTGGGTTGGAAAGCGGAAACCGATTACAAGGATCTATATGTGACCTCCTCCCTGGGGGACGGACAACCGAAAAGTGGGTGAAGGGAGACGTTGGACAGGGCAAGATATGACAAAATAACAATTTATAAATTATCAAGGGCTCATGAGGGAGTGGGGAGCGGGAAGGGAGGGGGAAAATGAGGACTTAATGCAGGGGGCTTAGGTGGAGAGGAAATGTTTTGAGAATGATGAGGGCAATGAATGTACAAATGTGCTTTACACAATTGATGTATGTATGGATTGTGATAAGAGTTGTATGAGCGCCTAATAAAATGATTAAAAATAAAGAAAAAAAATTATCAAGGGCTCATGAGGGAGTAGGGAGCGGGGAGGGAAGGGGGAAAAAATGAGGACCTGATGCCAGGGCTTAAGTGGAGAGCAAATGTTTTGAGAATGATGAGGGCAATGAATGTACAAATGTGCTTTACACAATTGATGTGTGTGTGGATTGTGATAAGAGTCGTATGAGCCCCTAATAAAATGATTTTTTTAAAAAGAAGAAAGAAAGTACTGTGGACTGTTGGAAGAACTAACAATTCTGTCTTTGAATAAGTATAGCTAGAATGCTACTTAGAAGCCAGGATGGCAAGACTTCATATTCCATATTTTGGACATGTGGTCAGGAGACAGTAGGCTTTGGAAAAAGGCATCATGCTTGGGAAAGTAGAAGCGTAAAGGGAGAAGGAAGCCCCTGAACAAGGTGATTGGACACAGTGGCTGCACCAGTGAGCTGAGACGTAACAGTTGTGGGGATGGTGCAGGGCTGGTGGTGTTTTGTTCTGTTCTTTGGAGGGTCACGAAGCATAGAGTTGTTATGAGTCAGAACCGAGTCAGCAACACTTAACAACCTAGTAGGTTACGGTGTTAAACTTTTGCATCATGGGATATAATGGACAAAGAATTGCAGCTGAGCTCAGTATTTGTTTACTTATATGGGAAAACCAGAAAAGCAAAAAATAAAAATAGCTACTTCTTTGTAGTGTATATTTTTTACTAGTGACTTGTCTTGCATTGCACTTTATAATGCAATGTGTATTTCCTATAATGGCTTAGTATGCAATTAACCGTTACTACATTATTATACTTAGGGAGCATATTTTAGAAATAGTGTTTTAAAAAAGTGAATACAGCATACTCTAACAATTTTAACTTAGAAATTTAGCCTTTCGCTTTATAGTAGGAAGAAAATTGATGGCAAAATTCTTTAGATAGCTCATCTTTAAAAGTTATCACAAATTTAAAGTAAGTTTGTAGCCATATTGAGCTTCAGATTTTCCTACACGGACTTATGCTATTTGGGGGAAAGTAAATAGAAATTATTTTGTTGCTTTGTTATTGCTGCGTGTTCTCCACTCAGATTTGACATCAATAACCTGGTCACCTAGAACTGGGCCAGGTTCGCGACAAATCATATCACCAGCTCTGTAGTCCTCTGCTAAAAGTGCCTCGGATGGTTTGGACATGTGACTCCTGAAAGGGAATCCAACCGGTTGATAAACGCCATCTTTACGGGGACGATAGCAACACAGGGAACAGGAAGCGATTGTCGCTCTGGTTTCATGTTTCCAGAGTCTTCATATGCAGATGAAAAGTAGACAGCGAATAAGAAAGACAGAAGAAAAAATGATGTATTTGAATTATGATGTTGACGAAGAATGTTGAAAATACCATGGATTGGCACAACCACAAACATCTGTTTTGGAGAAAGTACAACTAGAATGCTTCTTAGATGCACGAATGGGGAGACTGTCTCATGTACTTTGACTGTGTTATCCATTTGTAAACTGTTGATTTCTTTAGAACATTGTTCCCATTACTATTTGATAAAGCATAAAATGAATTCATCATTCTTCCACCCAAGCTGCACCATAAATTTAATGCTTGCTCTTGCTTCAATTTAAGCAGAATTCATGCTGCGGGCTCTTTGCAAACTGATGTCTTACCCTTCTTACTGCATCAAACTAGATCCTGTTCAGACAAGTCAAAACAAGTTAGTATGAGTTTATTTTGGTGGAAATAAAATTTCAAATCCATGCGCTGTTTTTCATAATATGCATTTCCTATGAACGTTTTGAAGCCCCCTCATATTTATGAGGGTTATTTATCTATAGATTTCTTATAATGTCTTTTTCAACTTTTGTTATTAGGGTAATGCTGGTCTATATAATAAGTTGAGAAGTGTTCCCTATTTAATATTTTGTAGGAAGTTGTGTAATTGGTATTATTTCTTCCTTAAATACTTGAGAGAATTCACCAATGAAGCCATTAGAACCTAGTGTTTTCTTTGTTGAAAGGTGGTTATATATCCTTAATGTATCTAGGACTATTGACATCATCCTTCTATTGAATCATTTCTTTAAAATCTGTATCTCCCAAAGAATTTATATAAGGCACTAAATTTATAGATATAAAGTTTTCCATAGTAGTCATTATCTTTGAATCTATAGATCTCTAGAATAGACATCTGTTGTGGCGCATTTTTAATTCTTGATGTATATTTGATAATTTAAGGTTTTTTTCTTTCATCAGTTTATCCATTTATCCTTTACTTGATCTTTTCTAAGAATTATTTTGGTTTCATTGATTATCTTTATTGCTTTTCCTTTTTCTGTTGATTTAAAAAATCATTTTATTAGGGGCTCATACAACTCTTATCACAATCCAAAAATGCATCAATTGTGTAAAGCACATTTATACATTCATTGCCCTCATTATGCTCAAAACATTTGCTCTCCACTTAAACCCCTGGCATCAGCTCCTCATTTTTCCCCTCCCTCCCTACTGCCCCCTCCCTCATGAACCCTTGATAATTTATAAATTATTATTTTGTCATATCTTGCACTCTTCTGTTGATCTTTATAGAATTTTCTGTCACCATTATTATTTTCTTCGATGTATTTTTAACAGTTTTATTGGCACATAATTTACATGTCATATAATTCAATAGTTCAATTGTTCAGTCGCATCAAGGAGAATTGTACAGTCATCACATCAATTTTAGTGGATAAACCCTCCCATGGTTAAATTGCCTTTAAAATAAGTCGTGTAATCACAATCCATTCTAGTGCTCCCTACGCTCTCCCGCCTTTATTATGTACTCCAAAATCCCCTTTCCCTTCCTATCACCTATCCTCCACCCGTTTTCCATGTGTCCTCTTGTATCAGTTATTATCGTTCTGCATCCTCTCTTCCTGTGCTTCACAGCTGGGAGACCCATCAGAAAATAACAAAACAAAATCAAAGACATATTTTGTATAATTTCTTGACATTTGGGCATTTCATATCATACGCTGCAAGATTTCATTTTGTAATCCATCGATACTCGTTTCTTCACTAGGCTGTTTTTATCAGTTGTAATAGTCTGTAAATATCAGAGTATTTCACAGGTTGTGTTCTCCAGTAGGGGAGACTGAAACAGAGTTTGCCGTGTGGTAAAAGATAATTACTAGGCATAAACACCTGTGAAAAGATGTGAACAGAAGCAGTATTGGACAAAGAGATTAAATGCAGATCTAACAAAGCCTTGGCCAAGCAGGTATAGAGCACCGGCGCAGAAACTGCCCCTCGAGTGATTATTGGTCCAGAATTTATACCCTCATTACATCCAGCCCAGATGCAGGCTGCCTTGCAAAAGATGTGACCTTGACTAAGGAGGTAGTCTGCTGACAATGCACTTTATATTAAACAAATCCTTGGGGGAATATCAGTGTCGAACATGTTTACATATAATCACAATAGTTGATTATATGAAGGGGCTTCAAAATTATTTTAGAAAAATTCTATTACCTCTTAATACTATTTTTCATGAACTTTTTGAAGCCCCTTCATGTTCAGATATTCTGTATCCCTATTTTTTTAAATTATTTATCCGGCCATATTTTCACACAAATAACTGGGTATGTTACATTTTTCACAAATAATGCCTCTGGCATTAGTTTCTGTTAAATCCTAAACACTATATTTGAGAATATATGGTAATTACTGAGAGAGATGAGTTAAATTTTTCTAATTATGAGTATTTGTTTTTCCTTTAACATCATTCTGCTTATGTTTTATGTGCTCTATTTCATTTGTTTTTTATTTAGTTTATTTGTTTATTTTAAATTAAACTAAATCCTTTACTAGAGAAAGACATATGAGGCGAGGGCAGTGCTGTGAAACTTGGGCGAACAGCGAAGCGCTGGTAATTAACTAGGTCATAATGTCTGCCATGGGAGTCTTAGTTGTAAAAGCGTATATGCTCTAGGAGTAAGTTCATTACAACTTACATAGAACTCTTTCTAGGTCCTTAGAACATGCTTTAGGGATGTCTCTCATGTGGATTAATGGGTCTTCTTACCTTTAAGCACAGGTTACCTGTAGCATTGAGAAATTGGGCAGGGAAGAAGAGTCTGGTTAGAGTGGCAAGGTCAGTGTCTAGTCAACAACTCTGGCCAAATCTTAGAATTCTTCACAGCAGTATCCCTAGGCTTAAGGGCCCCGTGGATTAAATTTTGCTATACAACCCTACCCCTTGTATTATGTACTTTATAGTTGTACTATTAAGCACATATATATTTATAATACTAGTTTTATTGCTGATGTATTAATTCTTTTTTCATTAACATATAATCTATTTTATCCAATATTAGTATAGCCATATTATGAATAATGTTCATGGTATATATTTTTTCATTCTTTTACTTAGCTTATTTTTTCTTTGTAAAGTAAGTCTCTTAGGGTCAGTACTGAATTACGTCAAACAAACTATAGAACCTTTGCTACTATTTTATTTTGCAGAAAAGTTGGTGAAGGATCCACAAGTACTCCTATACTATTTTTGTAATTTGTGTCTAAAATTATTTTAGGTGTGTGAATTATTGCTTTTTGATGCATTGTTCTGATCACTTCAGTATCTGAGCCATTGCTGCATTGTTAGCTATTTGCCTTTTCTCATCTGAGTTGAGATTTTTTTTCCTGTTTTTAGTATAATGAGTAGATTGTTTCTTGGAGACTTTGAAAAGTATTATTGGAGCCTGGTTTCTACTAAAATCTTCCTATTAGGAGGCAGCCACTAAGAAGGAAGGAAGGAAGGAGGGAAGGAGGGAGGGAGGGAGGGAGGAAGGAAGGAAGGAAGGAAGCCACCTGATATTTGCCCAAGACAAGGCAGGAGTGGTTGACAGGGCTCTGCCCCACCATCTCTGTGACTGAAGGGTGTAGTGGGGAAAAGGGGAACGCTCACCTCTGCTTTCAGTTGTGTAGGACAGGATGATCAATGAGCCTTTACCGCACAACGCCACAGTATCCACATAGAAGGCGTCCAGCATTGTACAAATTCATTGTCTTTCCGGTCCTTTAGTTAGGATTTTTTAGGGATTTTGGTGTTCTATGCAACACACACACACACACACACACACACACAACCAACAACAAAAAGAGAAAAAAGTCCAGGGATCCATTGCTGGATCGTCCCTCAAGTCCTAAAATCAGTAGTCAATTTGATATATTTTCTTCAAGTTTTAGTTTTCTGATGACTTTCTTGGTCTCCAGGCTAAATTTGTAGTTGCATATAGCAAGAAGGGTAGGGTGGAATATGCTTATGCCATTTTGTCTAGAAACAATCTCTTAAATCATTTAAGTATTAATATCTGTATTTTGTAACTTTGCTTATTTTCCTTCTTATTTTTCAGGCAAATGAAGATAAAACAATGTCTGCCAACTTAAAATACCTATCCTTGGGAATCTTGGTCTTTCAGACTACCAGTTTGGTTCTAACAATGCGTTATTCTAGGACTTTAAAAGAGGAGGGACCTCGGTATCTATCTTCTACTGCAGTGGTTGTGGCTGAACTTTTGAAGATAATGGCCTGCGTTTTACTAGTCTACAAAGACAGCAGTAGGTATCTAAGGGGGGGGGGCTGTTGGTTTTTTACTTATATATCATTATATATGAAAGTATATATTGGAATCATTTCTCGGCCTTTTGGTGAAGATCAAGTATGAAAATAAATGTCCTAATACTAAGTACATTTTTTAAAACAATAATTTTCATCTAATAATAAAGGATTTTACTCTAGTCTATATTGTGATTTTATCTTTAGATAATATACCATAAATGTGAAGCATAATTTCTTGCATTTATAATAAGTTAAGAGTAAGAGTATCAGAAAGGTAGTCAATGTGCATTGATAATTACTGGTGATTGGAATGCAAAAGCTGGGAATAAAGATGGGTCATTAGTTGGAAAATAAGGCCTTTGTGATAGAAATGACATGGTATATCAGAATTTTGCAGTTACCTTTCTTCTGCAACATAAATGGTGACTCACCAGATGGAATCCATGGGAAACGAGTAGACTACATCTGTGGGGAGAGACAATGGAGAAGGTCAGTACTATCAGTCAGAACAAGGCAAAAGGGCCAGCTGCCTGCCAGACCCTTGAGTTTATATGCAAGGTCAAAGTGAAGCTGAATAAAACTAAAATGAGTTCACAAGAGTTAAAGGATAGCCTTTAATATATCTCACCTGATTTTAGCGACCCTCTCAAGAAGAGATTTGACACATTGAACCAAAGACTATATGAGGTATGGGATGGGTGTGACATTAAGGACATCTTACATGAAGAAAGCAAAAGGCCATTAAAAAGACAAGAGAAAAAGAATAGACCAAAATAGATGTCCAAGGAGACTCTGAAATTTGCTCTTGAACATAGAGTACCTAAAGCAATTGGAAGAAATGATGAAGTAAAAGCTAAACAAAAGATTTCAAAGTGTAGCTCAAAAAGGCAGAGTAAAAAAATAAAAAATAGAAAAGCAAGAGTAAGGTATTATAAGGAAATGTGCAAACAAAAAGGAAGAACATAATTTCTCAAGCTGGAAGAACTGAAGAGAAAAATTCAAGCCTTGAGTTTAAACATTGAAAGAATCTATGGATTAGAAGAATTAACAAATTTGTCTTGGAAGAAGTATAGCGGAATGATCCTTAGAGGCAAGGAAGGTAAGACTTTGTCTCACATAGGTTGTATCCTTTCTCTATATTTATTCAACTGTATTCTGAGCATATCTAGGAAATGACTACATGAAGGAGAATGCTGCATCAGGATTAGAGGAAGACGTATTAATGAACTATGATAAGCAGGTGACACAACCTTACTAGATAAAAATGAAGAGGACCTGAGGCACTTAGTAATAAAGATCACCAGGAATAATAGTCAACATGATAAATGAAGTAAAGACGGAAGCTGTCAAAGATTTCATTTTACTTGCATTGACTCCGGAAGCAGAGGTCGAGAAATCAAACAATACATTTCACTGAGTACAATTGCTGCAAAAAAAAAAGAACACTATTTAAAGTGCTAAAAAACAAAGATGTCACTTTGAGGACTGAGGTGTGTCCAACCCAAGCTATGGTATTTTCATTTGCCTCATACACATGTGAAAGCTGGACAATGGATAAGGAAGAAGAACTGATGTCTCTGAAGTAGTGTTGGCGGAGAGTATTGAGTATATCAGGGACTGCCATAAATATGAACGAATCTGTGTTGGAGGAGCTACAATAAGAACACTCCTTAGTGGGGAGGATTATGAGGCTTTGTCAGATGTCCTGTGGACCTGTTCTCAGGAGAGACTAATCCTGGAGAAAGGCCATCATGCTTGTACAGTGGAGTGCCAGTGAGAAAAAGGGAGTTGCTCAACGTGATGGACTGGCATAGTGGCTGCAACAGTAGGCTTAATCAGTAAACTATTTGATTGGTGCAGGGACTGTTTCGTTCTGTTTTACACAAAGTCACTGCTAGGTGAGTATGAGTTGATGGCACCAAGCAACAACAGAGCAAATTCTGTAACTACTAGAACACTTGAGTTAAAAGGTTTTCTAAAAACAAGTTAAAACTTTTTATTTGATTTGCTGTATTGATTAGCTCAGCAGTGGCGTCTTATTTAGTATACTTTGGAAGCCCTCATAGTGGCCATTGTGGCTGGAGGATATTGATCTGGGAGGAGAATAAAATGAAGAGAGATTGAATTTGTGTTCATGAAATAGATAGTACAGGATGGCCCTGTTGACCATGAGTTTCGTTGTAAAAGCAAAGGGAAAGAATTGAGCTTAAAATACTGCCTCTTAGGCACACTACAAGGTCAGCCTAACGGCTGTTTTGACAGTGGAGAAGGAATCACAGTAGGTTCAGGAAATCATGTTAGGGAGCTGTTGACTAGTCCCAGCAAGATAATCGTTACCTAGATGAGGCTATACCTTGCCAATTGCCATTGGATCAGCTGTATTCCTGATGACCCTGGAAGTGAGAGAAAAGCTGCTCCATGGAGTCTTTGGTGACTCATTTTTTTGGAAGTAGATCACCAGGCCTTTTGAGGCATCTGACGACTCAGATCACCAGTAATTAGCAGTAGAGCACATTAATCATGTGTACCACCCAGGGGGGGTACTCCAGAGAAATTTCGTATCGGCATCGAGACTGAATTATTTTCTACTTTGAGTGTTGTTGTTACCATGTTTTCAATAATGGAATGAAATGGGGGGAAATTTTAAGTAATAAGGTTTTTGATATTTAGTAGGATGCATATTCCTGAGGGTTTTCACGTGTTGTGGTTGGTGGGCTAGATAAAGCGTTTCTTCCGATTCTCAGTTATACAAGCCGCCACCAGATGGCAGCAAGCACTAAACTCGAGATAGCTGTTACCCAGGAAACCCCCAAAGTAGGAAATGTACTTGGTGCTCTTGGTCCAAGGTCACAAAAGGGTTCTGACAGGTCTCTGAGGTGCAGCTAACAGACTAGATGCGGTTCAGATATAACAAGTTCATATGGGTGTATTTGGGTGGAAAACAATTTTTAAATCCATGCTTAGTTTTTTCATAATACACATTTCCATGAACTTTTTGAAGACTCCTTTTAAGGATAATGTTCTTTTTAATGTTACCTTATATTTAATATTTGAAAGTTAATAAAATAGAGATATGTTCAGACCGTGAAACAGCCTGAAGCCTAATTTCCTTTTTTAACAGGTGAGAAACTAAAACTTAACAGATGCATAAACATAATTACTGATTTTTCCAATGCATGTGTTTTGTCTAGAATGTAGTCTAAGAGCATTGAATCGAGTGCTACGGGATGAAATTCTTAATAAACCTATGGAAACACTTAAACTTGCTATTCCATCAGGAATATATACTCTTCAGAATAATTTACTCTATGTGGCCCTGTCAAATCTCGATGCAGCTACTTATCAGGTACTTCAATTACATTTCTGAAAGTTCATTTTATTTTTTCTTCAAAGTTCATTTTAAAGAATAAGTAAAATTATTAATATCAGTTTGCTTAAAAAATTTTTTTCTTACAGGTTACATATCAGTTGAAAATTCTTACAACGGCATTATTTTCTGTGTCTATGCTTAGTAAAAAGTTAGGTGTGTACCAGTGGCTCTCCCTAGTAATTTTGATGACAGGAGTGGCTTTTGTGCAGGTAACTATTCAAGATAAGTATACCTTTCATTTAAGTCTTAATTTCAAAACCTGATTTATTGTGGAGAATATGATTCTATTAATTGTTAAAGCAAATAAATGCTTATTTCTCACCATGGATAGAGATGTTTGGAGCTATTCCTTTGTGCAAGATATAATCTGGGCACTGTAAGTGGTACAAAAAAGGTTTATTAAAAGCCAAATTATTTGACATAAAGAAATGAGCAGTTTTGGGGTTTTTTCCTCTTTTATTTCAAGAGAACAAAGAATCACTTGTCAATTTTGTACAAAATCCTGGTGTCAGAACGGTGGTGATCTTAGGCTGGCACCTTCCCCTCCCACCAATATGCCAAAAAAAACCCCAAAAATCAAGATGAGGCCCACAAGCTCAAACTCTGAAAGAAATCACTATGAAAAAAGCTGGGGCCCCTTCCCGGTCCTCCTGCCTCCTCCCTGTTCCCATACCAAGGGCAGCCTGGACGAGGGCTGTGCTCGCAGGGCCAGCGAAGCCTCATTGGGGAGTGGGTAGAGTTAGTGTTTGGTACCCATTGGGGGAAAATGAGCAGTTAGGGAAATGTGACACTGTACATAAACAAAGCTGATTTTTACTGGCTATCTGGAACTTGAGGGATTATTAATGTATTAACCATTTTCTCATTAGTGACTACCAGATTCCTAATACCACTCTTTCCTGGGTATTCTCGTAGCTTTCAAATGCTTCCTTATTGGTTTCCTTCCTGAGGTTGGCTTCCTTGGTACTCCCATTTGATACTGGGCTTTTCCAATGCTTAATTCACATCCTTAGATTTGGAGGTTTCATTCATTCTGGAGGTTTTATTAACACTTACATGCTCCATCTGTATTATTAGCACTGACTATTGCAGTTGTTTTGTCACAAGCCTACGAGTCCTTGTCCTACTATATTAGCCCGTTAATGTAAACTGGACACTGTATGCAGAAGAAAAAGGGGTTTTATTGTCTGTGCAGACAAGGAGCATCGTGGGGTCACCTGACCAAAATTCTACATGCTCCACAAATTTGGGGCATCTGGTCCTTTATCTCTTGCAATTTCTGGCACTTTGACTCCTTCTTTCCTCTCTCCAACCCCTAACCTTCCTTTGTCCATAAATAGAGGTCTGGTTGGTTGTGGGATTATAAAGAGATTTTTCACCAGCTTTGTGTTCCCCAAAGATATGATAAACATTAGAGGCTATTTACCAGCACATGGTGGGAGGTCAGATGCTTAGAGACATCCTCCCTGAAGGCAGTCAGTTGCCAGACTGGTAGGCCCTGCTTCCTGCTGCTAAGGACAATGGGCTACTTCTCCCTAAAGGCTTGCCACCATTAGCCTGGTCCCTGTAGGTGGTTTCTATGGAGATCCAGAGAACAGGTCAAACCGGCTCAGTGACATCCAAAGTTAGGCTGCCATCCTGAATCTAGGATTCACCCTTCTTGTCACATATATACCCCCAATCCCTCCTCTTCCTATTGTGTGTGTATCCCTAGATTGTCGCCCTCTCATTGCTGTACAACCTATAGTGCAACCCCTTCTTGTGACATATATGTTTACCTGTAATTAAGGGTCTTGCATGTCTTCCCCCACCCACATTTGTGTTCATGAAATAGATAGTACAGGATGGCC